CACAGAAGCGGAGTGGTTAGCTTTTCCTTATGGTCTTCATATATTGCTTGGGCTTTCTTTTTAATTGTGAGAAAGTTTGTTCCTGATCACTTCAGATGCTTAACTTGCTAGAGAAATTCTTACATGAACAACATTGCTTCTGAGCTATACTGACATTATTTCCCTATTTACAAATAGCATGTGAACTAACTCCCATTAGAGAAATATGCTTTGTAGCAAAACTCAACTTTGGTTTCTGTTTTGGAAAGCAGCTTTTTGGGGGACTCACCTAAATCAACCAGGAGATTTGATAAATTATTGTGAGAACCAAATCTTGGTCCTTGCCTCAAGACTGAATTCTGCTCAGCCCAAAGACCTCAGTTTTACATTAAGCATTTGCCTCTTCTGACTCTACAAATGCTGGATTTTCTGGGCTCCTTTTATTATTGATTGTAAACTGATCAGTTCTTTTCTGAACTTGTCCTTTTCATGCAATAATTTCTTGAATACAACTAACAGTAACCAACATACTTGTAGTAGTTCTGTTTCCTACTAGAGCTACTAGACTTTGTGGTACGTTATCTACCTTCCAAGATAGCTAGGTGATAGTTGCACTGATAACTTTACCACTGCATGAAACAAATTGCTAATCTTTCAGTAACTTTCCTTGCCTCGTTCCACCCAATTCCTATTGCCATATATTTCAGGCTTTTTGGTAGGGCAGCATTCCCCCCTCTGAGTTCTACCTGTATCGCCTAGGAAAAGCCAGATGATGCTGTGGTAGTAATCAATGCAAGATCTCAGTGGCTTTGAAAACCTACTATGGGCTGGGCATGGTGGCTTACGCCTGTAATCCCAGCACTTTGGGAGACCCAGGCAAGAGGATTGCCTGAGCCCAGGGGTTTGAGACCAGCCTGGGCAACTTGGTAAGCCCTCGTCTCTACAATGAATTTTTTAAAAAAATTATCCAGGCATTGTGGCACACACTTGTAGCTATTTTGTAGCTACTTGGAGGCTGGTCATTGTACTCCAACCTGGGCAACAGAGTGAGACTGCAACTCAAATAAACAAACAAAAAAACCACAACCTACTATGCATATCCTGTAAGTCATCTCCGTTGCATGGGGTCCTAAGCTGAGCGCAACCATCACCTTGAAGATTGCTAGTCACTGAGCAAAAAGACATCCAAAGAGTATCATATTGATTAGTAAATGCCCTGGTCTTCTCCCTGTCACTTCATGATTTGCTGGCCAGAAGCACTCACAAGGTACCACCCAAGGCTAAGCCGTATAGTCTTACCATGTACCCAGAAGCCTGAGAGCCAGAAATATTTGGAAAATGAATTAATGACCACGACAGAAGATTTCCTTTTACTTTTTCCTTTTCTTTCTTTCTTTCTCTTTTTTTGGGTTGGTGTCTTACTCTGTCACCCAGGCTGGAGTACAGTGGCACACTCATGGCCACTGTAGCCTCCACCTGCTGGGCTCAAGTGATCCTTACGCCTAAGCCTTCCAAGTAGCTGGAACTACAGGTGTGCACCACCATACCTGGATAACTTTTTTTATTTATTGTAGAGATGAAGTCTCATCAAGTTGCCCAGGCTGGTCTTGAACCGTTGGACTCAGGCAATCCTCTTGCCTCAGCCTCCCAAAGTGCTGGGATTACAGACATGAGCCATTGTGCCTGGCCCTGTCATTTGTCATAATAGAAATAGAAAGACCATGAGCTTTGGGGTCAAGCAGGCCTGGAGTCAAATACTGCCTCTGTCATTTGATAGATGTGTGATCTTAGACACGTTATCGAGCTTCTCTGAGCCATAATTTCCTCATTTATAATACAAAAAAGTAAATGTATCTACTCAAATGTCAGGTGAAACATGGCAACATCACCATCACCATACCTTCCTGAAATTCCACTAAAGCAAAAGTACAATAATTTTTAAAAATCAAGTCAAACAAAAAATTAGAATGAACAAATAATGAAGTAAATTTTAAAATAATTAAAAAGAATAAATTCACAAGGAAAATGGAAGAGAAGACAAAGGAATAGCAAAGAAGTGATAGAAATAGTTGTGAACTACATTTAGTCGCCCTAATCTAAGCAATAAGTGGTGATTTTTTAAAAGTTGTGGTACAACTGTATTGGGAAGATAAGGGGAGAGTTGGGAACATAAGGTAAGAAAACCGTAGGCCATTGCCTTACTAGACTCTGGTGTGGCCATGTGCTCTTTGAACTATGGCTGTCGCCATGCTTCCTAGCTTTGGCCCCCTCCCCTACCTTGGGGAGTTGAAGCTTCTCTTTCTTTCTAATTTACTTTCTAAATAAACTATTATTTTCTAATCTAAAAAGAAAAAGAAAAAACTGTAGAGGGAAACAACAAGTAGAGCCTGAAATTGAAAAAAACCTCAAGAAACAAATAGCATATTATGTAGAAACACAATACGGTGGGGTGGGGAACAGCTAAATAGCATGATGTTCTCTGGGGAGCAGACCCAGTTGAGTTGGAGGCGGGCTGGTGTATTTGACTGGTACAACTGTGGATTTTTAAAAAATGATGACTTTGATTAAACCCCAAAGTTTTGTGGTGGATATGAAACAAATGATGGATAGTAGAAGTCTGGGCCTGTGTACACAGAAGGCACATAATAAGTACTGGTTATCTTCCTTTTGTCAGCTAGACAGGGTATGTGTGCAATAGTTTCTATGACTCAGAGTTTAGGTGGTTGACTAAACAGCAATGCAAATTATGTGCTCTTCTCATCTTTTTTTTTTTAATGGATGGTTTTATTTTTCTTGGAACCATATCAACCTGATGGTTATGGTTTCTTAGAATTAAGACTTCTGTGCAACTGATATATGAAAACCACCCAGTTATGGAGTGGATCTAGTGAACTATGCATAGGACAAATTTTTAAATACTTAGCAACTTTTAAATTACTCTAATAAACCTGAAAACAATTATGTCTATACCTAGGTTATAAAGTATCTAAGGGAGCCAGGTTCGGTGGCTCAGCCTGTAATCCCGTGCCTTTGGAAGGCTGAGGTGAGTGGATTGCCTGAGCCCATGGGTTCAAGATCTGCCTGGGCAATTTGGCGAGACCTCATCTCTACAATAAATCAAAAAATCAGCCGGGCATGGTAGCACGTGCCTGTAATTCCGGCTACTCGGAAGACTGAGGCAGAAGGATCGCTGGAGCCCAGTGGGTCGAGGCTGCAGTTGCCAGGAGCAGCCACTGCACTCCAGTCTGGGCGACTGAGTGAGACTCCAACTCAAAAAAATAAAAAATTTTTAAAAATAAAGTAAGGCCAGGGACATTTTATTTCTCTTCTATGGTTGTGACAATTAGCTGCTTTATTTCCATGGTCCATAGTGCCTGTCCTGTTCCACTGCCACCTAGTTCTGTGAACTCTCACTGTGGCGGATGTGGTGACTGATGCTGAGAGAAAACCAGCCAGAATAAAACTTGCATGTTTCATGCATGACACATTGCAAACTGGACTGTAAAGGCCTTGGGTACAGAGACCATACAACTTGCCATATTAGAATGCCATAGTGTCTAGGAAATGAAGGCTATGCAATATTATTTTACTCATTGTATGTATACTCTGTGCTAGGTACTGTGCTAACCTCTGAGGATATCTTGGTGAGCTGGACATATGTGACTCTTGCTGCCATAGAATTTTTTTTAAAAGATGTGGAGTACAATTCAGGGTTAGGTACATAAGTGATCATTGTATAGGTGAAGTTTGGGCCTCCCATTGGACATCACTTCGCCTGGTTTGGGACCAGTTACCTTTATTAGTATTATGTGCCTCCCCCCCGCCCCTGACAGTGACCAGCTACTACCAATCCCTTTCATGTAGTATTATGATAATGTTCAGGGTTCACTTATGAATGAGAACATGTGGTACTCAATTCTTTGTTTCTGTGAGTATAATAGGCTCTAAATCCATCCAAGTTGCTGCGAAGTTTATAATTGTGTCCTTCTTTTTGGCTGCATAATATTCCATTGTGTATATATACCACATATTTTTAATCCAGTTCATTTTTGATGGACAGCATGGTTGGTTCTATATTTTTGCTATTGTGAATAGTGCTGCAATAAACATGCATGTATCTTTTTTTGTAGAACGATTTGAATTTCTCCAGGTATATTCCTACAAGGGGGATTGCTGGGTTGTATAGAAGGTCAATTTTTAGATCTTTTGGAAATCGCCACACTGTTTTCCACAGAGATTGTACTGGTTTACACTCCCACCAACAGTGTAGAAGCATTCCCTTTTCTCCACATTCTCTCCAGCATCTGTTGTATTTTGAGTTATTAATGATGGCCATCCTGACTGGAGTTAGGTGATATCTCAGTGTGGGTTTCGGTTTTTTGTTTTTTTTTTTTTTGAGTTGGAGTCTCACTCTGTTGCCCAGACTAGAGTGCAGTGGTTGCTCCTGGCCACTGCAGCCTCAACCTGCTGGGCTCCGGCGATCCTTCCGCCTCAGCCTTCCGAGTTGCCGGAATTACAGGCAGGCGCTACTATGCCTGGCTGATTTTTTTTTTTTTTTATTGTAGAGATGAGGTCTCTCCAAGTTGTCCAGGCGGGTCTCGAACCCACGGGCTCAGGCAATCCACTCACCTCAGCCTTCCAAAGCGTGGGATTACAGGCTGAGCCACCGAGCCTGGCTTCAGTGTGGTTTTGATTTGCATTTCTTTGATAGTGAAACTGAGCATTTTTTCATGTATCTATTGACTTCTTTGGAGAAGTGTCTGTTTATATCTTTTGCTCACTTTTTAATAAGGCTGTTTTTTTCCTTTCACTGCCATAGAATTTACATTCTAACAGAAAATGTTTGTGAATTTCTTTAATCCCGTAAAATAGTGGCCCACACTGAAACACTGAAACAGTAAAAAAAGCATTGTGTATTTAAAGAGTTTAATCATTTTAAGTGACTTTTTTGTGATTTAAATGCATATTATCAAAAGGAAATAGTGGCATCTGATTTTTTTATTCTGTGCTTTTCTTTGCAGATAAGATGCTCCAAGTCCCTTGCAGCTCTCTTCAGAAGAAAAATCACTCGTGCTCTGCTCTTGCCATAATACCAAACCTTTCTGACTTATGCTTTGGTGCTGCGATACTGGAGGAATTGCACACAGGTTCCAGGAATATCTTTTTTTTTTTTTTTTTTGATTCTTTGTGGATGAGAAAAGATTTGAGTCTTAATAATTACGTTGTTTTAAGCTATTTCTCGATAGTCTGAACTGCTTAATAAATTGGGCCACTTACCAATTAGCAGCACAGCCAGTTCTTGCCAGGAGCTGGTTGAAAACTGTGCTGTACATGTAGCAGGGATGGCGCAAGAAGATAGCCGTCGTGGTCAAGTGCCATCTACCTTTTATCATGGTGCCAACCAAGAGCTTGACCTGTCCACCAAAGTGTACAAAAGGGAATCAGGAAGTCCTTATTCTGTGTTAGTGGACACCAAGATGAGCAAACCACATCTTCATGAAACAGAGGAACAACCATATTTCAGGGAGACAAGAGCAGTGTCTGACGTGCATGCTGTTAAAGAAGACCGGGAGAATTCTGATGACACGGAAGAGGAGGAGGAGGAGGAGGAAGTCTCTTACAAAAGGGAGCAGATCATAGTGGAGGTAAACCTTAATAATCAAACATTAAATGTATCTAAAGGGGAAAAGGGTGTCTCTTCTCAGTCCAAAGAGACTCCTGTTCTTAAGACAAGCAGTGAGGAGGAAGAGGAAGAGAGTGAGGAAGAGGCCACAGATGACAGCAATGACTATGGAGAGAATGAAAAGCAGAAGAAAAAGGAGAAGATCGTGGAGAAAGTCAGCGTGGCACAAAGGAGGACGAGGAGAGCTGCCTCTGTTGCCGCAGCTGCTGCGTCCCCTACTCCCAGGACGACACGAGGCCGTAGGAAGAGCGCAGAGCCTCCAAAACGGAAGAAGCGGGCCGCAAAGGAGCCCAAAGCGCCAGCCCAGAAAACTAAGTGTGAAGAGAAAGAGACTCTGACCTGTGAGAAATGCCCCAGAGTGTTTAACACTCGCTGGTACCTGGAGAAGCACATGAATGTGACTCATAGGCGCATGCAGATTTGTGATAAGTGTGGCAAGAAGTTTGTCCTGGAAAGTGAGCTGTCCCTTCACCAGCAAACAGACTGTGAGAAAAACATTCAGGTAGGTCTCACCACCGAGGGCAAACTTTTCAGGATAGAGCCTGGCTGTTCAGATTCATCTGGTATCTGCCCAGGAGAATACATACAATAGAGGCTGAAGGGACAGATTTCACCACTGATCATTTGAAAAGCTCCTGCTTTGGTCTTTTCAAACCCGAGGCTTATTTTGTCTCAAAAGCATTACATTTAACTGACGCTGGACTAGTGGGACCCAGGTGCACTGGAAGGGGGATCTGTTCTAGATGATTGACCAGGAGGTAAAAGCAGCACCAGCTTTGCACTAAGAGTCACTGTTGTAGGACGTGCGGTAGAATTCGTTCTGGCATCTTCTCTGTGAAGGCGAGAGATCCTGAGTAAAGGTCAGGAGTAGAGAAAGGTCCCTTTCTAGGTTTAAAAGGATGCCAGACTCTAGTGCAGCTGATGGGGACAAAAACCATAATGACTCAGACCGGTGGAAATGGAAGATCTCCAGGAGTGAGTTTGCTTTTGCCATTGGAGAGATGACAACACTAAATTTGTCAAGAGGCTGGGCCCATGGGAATATGCCAACTTTAAACAGAGGCTGAGCTGGTTGAAAATGCCCACCTGGCAGTAGGGTTACATAATGCTACTGAACGGTATTGTTAAGATAACCAAATGTGGTGTTCAAACCAGGCAGTTGTCTTGGAAGGACTATATTGTGACAGGTTAAGAGGTGTGGTTATTGTATTATGTTGTGTGGATTGCAACTATATTGGTTTGCATATGTGGATGCATATCAATGAATACTCACAAAAGGTAAGTCTATTAATGTCTCCATAAGATATGTAAAACAAATATTTTGTACCATATTTAAACTAAACTTATATAAGATAAATTATTTTGTTTTGGTTTGTTTTTGGCAGTTACCCTTAAGTTTCACTTTTCTTCTAATGCATTTAATAAAAAACTGAAATTGTTGTTTTAAAGAGAGTTTTTAAAAATGGAAATTACAGTTGCTAAAAACTAACTGCTTTTGATTCATCAATTGTAACTTGACCTCTGACACGCTGGGTTAAAAAAAGAAGACTGAGTCCCGGAGCCCGTATCTTCCAGTAACTGCTCATGCCTGGCGTGGGTATGAAGCGGTCTGCATACTTCAGGCCAAAGGGAATGTGGTGCCGTGCTGCACCCTAGCGGTCAGACTTGGATCTGTGTTTATTCTTGAAAAGGTGTTCTTGATCTTTTTATATAGGGGTTTACTTAAATTTGCTTTAAGTTGCAGAAAAGAAAACATATAATAAATCCTTTTTATGTGACTTTCCTCGATAGTCCTCATCATAATGGTTCTGAACTTGCGTTTAGGTGTTCTGGATTCTGCTAAATGAACTCTCTTCACTTTCCTAAAGAACATGTACTTTGTCCCTACGTATAGATCCTAGTAATCCTGATAACCTGGTGTCAAGTAAAAATTGAAGCGCTGCCCTATGGATGGCTGGAAGGAGTAGGGTGGCCTTCCTAGAGCGCTATTCAGCAAGAGGCTTACCTTTTAGCTTGACGCAGGCTCTTTTTTCCTGAAGTAGTAGTGATGTTCAGAGATCTTCAGTTACAGTGAATACTAACATGTGCCCTTAAGTATCCCAGAGTCTAATGATTACCAAGAACTTTTTGTTTTCTTTAGCCAGAAATATTTTATGTTGATACGCTTTATGCCCAGTAGTCCAGGCTACTAATGATTCATACTGCAAGGCACTCGGCAGTGTGGCATGTGCTTCCTATAGATGCATGTAAGAGAGTTCTGGGGCTGGGCTGCAGGGGAGAAGGGAGAGTGCTACTAACAGCTTAGATGCTGTGTTAAATTTTGCCAGAGGGAAATATAGAATAATTTGAGAAAATACAATAAAATTTCAATTATTTATGAAAATAAAGTCCAAATGCATTTTCTAATGTACCAAAACATTTTTATACTCCTACAGCTCTATAACCATTAATATATATTTTGTTTCATATCGTTTTATTTATGCTGACTCATGATCAGTTTGTATTCACTGCATGGTGACCATGGAGGAGGCGGCCATACTTGCTTAACCCACATGTTTAAAAGATCGCAAGTTCCTTTCATAGATGCAATACTAGCGTGATAATGGCAGTCAATTCATTGACATTAGTGGAAATTTCCACTTTTTGTTTCAGTTTTTGCTATTGTTTTCATACTCCCAAAGAGTGTCTAAAAGATGCATCTTGGAAAATAGAACACGCAGATGTTGGTATTAGAATCTCGACTCTGTGGAAGAATAGCATTTGTCTGAATTCTGGCCTTATGCCATGAATCTAAAGCATGTCCATTTCATCTGCCAGAAGGTTGGTATGACTTTCTTTAAGCCCCTATAAATAAAGACTGTTTCTATTTATCCTGCTCAGTGTGTTTCCTGTAACAAATCATTCAAGAAACTCTGGTCTCTTCATGAACATATCAAGATCGTCCATGGATATGCAGAAAAGAAATTTTCCTGTGAAATTTGTGAGAAGAAATTCTATACCATGGCTCATGTGCGGAAACACATGGTTGGTAAGTTTTTCTGCTGTTTTTCTCTCACTCTCAGATTGGGCAGGATATGAGGACTTGCCTTACTTTAATCAGTTTTGACGTGTTAAAACTTAATGCAGCCAGGCGTGGTGGCTCATGCCTATAATCCCAGCACTTTGGAAGGCCAAAGTGAGAGGATTGTTTGAGCCCAGGAGTTCAAGACTAGCCTAAGCAACATAGCAAGACCTCATCTCTACAAAAAATTTTAAAATTAGTTGAATGTGGTAGTGCGCTCCTATAGTCCCAGCTACTCCAGAGGATGAGGTGGAAGGATTGCCTGAGCCCAGGAAGTCGAGGCTGTGGTGAGTTGTTATGGTGCCACTGTACTCCAGCCTGGGCCACAGAGTGAGACCTCAACTCAAAAAAAGAGAAGGAGAGAAACGAAGTGTAGCATGTCTTCAGTAAGCATCGCCAAATTGGATGGCATCGTCCTCTAAACCCACAATTCTTTTCAACGTTATTTTTCTCTTCAGATCATTCCTACTAAAGCCTCACAAATCAGTGTGTAGAAAATTAAGATGGAGTCAGGCATGGTGCCTCATGCCTGTAATCTCCACACTTGAGGAGGCCAAGGCCAAAGAATTGCCTGAGCCCAGGAGTTCAAGACCAGCCTGGACAATATAGCAAGACCTCATCTCTTTTTTTATATCTAAATATATTTATTTTTATATTTTTATATTTAAATATATTTATTTTTATATTTATATTTAAATATATTTTATATTTATATTTAAATATATTTATTTTTATATTTTTTATATCTAAATATAAAAAATTTAGCCAGGCAAGCTGGCATGCACCTGTAGTCCCAGCTACTTGGGAATCTGAGGCAGAAGGGTCGTTTGAGCAATGGCATAATTGCCTTACACTGGGACATCTGTCCTTTCTAGTTTGAGCTTTTTGGTAGACTTGTTTTGAGTATAAGTACTTGTACATTCTATGTTGCAGCACACACGAAGGATATGCCATTTACATGTGAAACCTGTGGAAAATCATTCAAACGCAGTATGTCACTCAAGGTACACTCCTTGCAGCATTCTGGAGAGAAGCCCTTCAGATGTGAGGTAAGCGATGTGCTGCCCACAGCCTGGGCCTAGGGGCTGGTGTTGTTGTGGTTGGTGGAGCAGTGAGAGGGAGGAGTACTGGAGCCGGGCACCTTCAGTCACGTACTGTGTGCTGTCTGTGTTCCCTCACTGCTAGGGAGACAATGGCATTTTTAACACACTGTTGACTCTCTTAGATTAGATTTATGGAAATAGCACGTAATGACTTATTTTTCTCAGTGACTTAGAAAAGTTGAGCGAAGAGTTCAGGGATAATTCTGTGAGGACACTTCCCTTTTTTTAGTCACTCAGCTGCTGAAATATAGCAAAGCCAAATAGCTGGCACAAGCAGGTTCTATTCTGAGTGTGAAAAATAAACCTAATGTCAGAGACTGTTAGAGTGGACTCAGGTAAAATGACTGTGCTTGGCGTTCAAAAATCTCCACTGTGTCCAATGCAGAACTGCGACGAAAGGTTTCAGTACAAGTACCAGCTGCGCTCCCACATGAGCATCCACATTGGGCACAAACAGTTCATGTGCCAGTGGTGTGGCAAGGACTTCAACATGAAGCAGTACTTCGATGAACACATGAAAACACACACTGGTAAGAATTTCATGGGAAAGGTCAGATAATGTCACAGGCACTTGTTGGTGATCATCTGTGGGTCTGTTTTTAAATCAGTCTAAAGCACAAGCATTATATGTGTAAATTCCACTTTAAATACACCTGATAGATAAAAATACAATTTTATAACACTGAAAAATGTGGCTTTCCTAACTCTGCTTCATTTTGTTTTGTTTTGTTTGAGTTGGAGGTCTCACTCTGATGCCCAGGCCAGAGTGCTGTGGTATGCTCACAGCTACTACAGCCTCGACCTGCTGGACTCAGGCAATCTTTCTGCCTCAGCCTCCCGAGTATCTGGTACTACAGGCACTCACCGCCATGCCCAGCTAAGTTTTCAATTTTTTGTAGAGATGAGGTCTCTCCATGTTACCCAGACTGGTCTCAAACTCCTGGGGTCAGGCAATTCTCTTGCCATCACCTCCCAAAGCGCTGGGATTATAGGCGTGAGCAGCTGTGCCTGGTCCAGATTGAACACTGTTTATATGCTTAGAGATATCAGTATATTTTCTTTTCTGAACTGCATGTGCCTTTTCTGTGTTTCTCTCTCCACTGCAGTGTTTGACTTTTCTTACTGTTATAATAGCTCTTTATACATTAAGTATACTGTACGTGCCTATTTGGCACTGCTGTTGAAATACCTTGTCCTGGTTTGTCATCTGCCTTTTTAATACTGTTAATGATACTAAAACTGGTAGATTTGGACACAGATCTGGCTCTTCCACTCACTAGTGGAATGGTGCAGCCTCTGCAGGTCTCTGGTTTCTTGGTATTAAATAAGGATTGCAGTAGTACCTAAGAGGGTGCAGGAGAAGGGTTAGGGTTGGAGAAGGAAAATGACAGGTCTTTGAAGGCTGGATGAAACCACATTTAGAGACAGCAGTATGCTTTGGTGGGGACTAAGGCCATTATGGGAACGGACATTGATCGGGCTGTTTCTTTGCAGTTAAAGAAAGGTGAGGTAGATCTTATCTGGAGAAGATGACCAATCTTCAGAGTTGGATGTCTCACTCTGATGCCCAGGCCAGAGTGCTGTGGTATGCTCACAGCTACTACAGCCTCGACCTGCTGGGCTGTGGACAATGGATAAGTTCAAAGTAGAACACTTGCAGACTGTCCTTGTACCCAGGCACAGTGCTCTCAGGGAGCTTATAGTCTGATGAATGGTAGCGGTAGTGGTGGTGATGATGATGGGGATGATAGCAGCTAAAATGCATTGAGTATCTACTATGTGCCAGATACTGCTCTAAGCATTTTGTGTTTTGCATCACAGCAAAATTAAGTAGGTTATTATCTTTATGTTTCAGATGAGAAATCTGAGGCTCACAGATTAAATAATTTGTCCAAGTCAGTCTGATTCTAGAACTACACACTTAATGATTCTGATAAACATTTAATGTAGCAAGTAATAAAATAGAGGGATATATAGGACATTATGAATGTAAAAAGCACTGTGATCTCGTTCACAGTTTCCAGGATTTGTCTGTGTATTCAAATAGATCAGGATTAGAGGGACTGATAGATGTTAAATGGTCCCAATGTTATATAAAGAAAATACCTAATGTATTAATCTAAATTTGTCTAAATAAAAATTCATGTTGGAAGCTAAATTATAATCAGAAGATTGGCAGGGCCTGGTAATTAGAACAAAAGAAGAAGATGATAATTGATCTTAATGGTGAGTACCATACATTATAGAATCCAGGAAGCCATCAGTTGCAAGGCAAAATTAGTGTACTGCTAAGAAAAAAAATCGAGGTATTTTTGTGGCTTAAAAAGAGAAAATGCTGCAGATTAAACAATGACATGCCATTGATTGTAATGTATATACCCATTTCAGAGATGTTAAAATTTGGAGGGAGATGCTTAAATATTTATTAAGAATCTACTAGCCGAGCACAGTGGCTCATGCCTATAATCCCAGCACTTTGAGAGGCAGAGGCAAGAGGATTGCCTGAGCCCAGGGGTTTGAGACTAGCCTGGGCAACTTGACGAGACCTTGTCTCTACAATAGGTTGAGGTGGAAGGATCACCTGAGCCCGGCAGGTGAAATCTACTAAATGATGTTCCTGTGGGGAGCAAGACTGAAATAACCCCTGAGTCCACAAGAGGAGCAAGACTGAAATAACCCCTGGGTCCACAAGGTCCAGAATGCTGGGCACACAAAGCATAATGTGGTTTGATGATAAGAGTGGTAAGTCAGCAGAACTGAAGGAGGCTGGCTGGAGTTTGGTAGACGAGTGAGGGGGCAAGGAGTGCGATAAGACATGACACTAGAGAGCAGTAAGCAGGTACTAGATCCCAGAGAACCCCATAAGCCCTGTGAGCCATTCTGGACTTTAAGAACAGTGGGAAGTTCCTGAAAAGTTTGAGCAGAGTGTGGTCCACTGTTTGAAGTTCGTTCTGAATGCAGTGTGAAGAGTGGCCTGGAGGGTAGGAGCAGGGAGAGAGATGGTGAACCCAGTCAGGTGAGTACTGGGTGATTCAGGTAAATGGTAGTGATGATAAGTACTATGGTAAGACCAGTGGGTGAAATTAAAGCAATAGCCAGTGTTTAGTCAAATGAACTTGGTGACTGATTGGATGTTGGTAGTATGGGAGGGAAGAATCGAGAGTTAGTCTCAGATTTGGGGCTAAAACTGTTTGTTAAGACACAGGATAATGGGAAAAGGAGCAGGCTTGCTCGATAGAATCGTGAGCTTAATTTTGCACTTGTTAATTTTGAGGTATGTATGGGACATGCAAGTGGAGATGCCCAACAAGCTATTTGATAAATGGGTTTAGTCAGGCATGGTGGCTCACGCCTGTAATCTCAGCACTTTGGGAGGCAGAGGCGAGAGAATTGCCTGACCCCAAGGGTTCGAGACCAGCCTGGACAATTTGATGAGACCTCATCTCTACAATAGATCAAAAAATTAGCTGGGCGTGGTGGCATGCACCTGTAGTTCCAGCTACTTGGAAGGCTGAGGCAGAAGGATCTCCTGAGCCCAGCAAGTCGAGGCTATAGAGGCCATGAGTGTGCCATTACACTCCAGTCTGGGCAGCAGAGTGAGACTCCGACCCCCCCCACCAAAAAAAGAAAAGTTGAAGAAAGAGATTTAGGTTAGTTATCTAGATATCTGGATATCTGCTGCTACCCAAGGATATTCACACTAAGCAGACTGAAATGCCTGTGTTTATTGGCCAAATCGTTCTTTTCTTTGAACAGTGCAAGAGACTAGCCAAATTCTTGCTCTTTTCCATCCATCTTCCCTGCAGGTTCTCTGTGTTCATTTACAGTGTTCTTTCTTCAGACTCATTACAATACTATTTCTTACACTTAGGTTAACTTTATGTGTAAGTTAGGTCATATCCTTAGACATACTAATAAGCATGCTTTTCTAGTTACTTTGATGAACTCAGCTGTTCCTATATCTTCTTGTCACTTGTTTACCAGCTCCTCCTTAAAGTGGGAAGAGCTTAAAGGTAGTTGATTTTAAATGTTACTTTTTAAAAAAAGTTATTTAAGACTCACTCTGTCACCCAGGCTAGAGTGCAGTGGCCCACTCACAGCCACCACAGCCTTGACCTCCTGGGCTCAGGCTATCCTTCTGCCTCAGCCTTCCAAGTAGCTGGAACTACAGGTGTGCACTGCCGTGCTTGGCTAATTTTTCTTGATTTATTGTAGAGATGAGGTCTCACAAGTTACCCAGGCTGGTCTCGAACCCCTGGGCTCAGGCAATCATCTCACCTTGGCCTCCTAAAGTGCTGAGATTATAGGTGTGAGCCACTGCGCCCGGCCATAACATTGTTTTTAATAGTGTTTTCCATCAGATGGATATATCACAATTGATTTAATTCAGTCAGTTTGACACAGATTCTCACGTTTTTAAGATGATCAGAGAAAACGGATTAAAAGAAAATGAGTCACAGTGAAGCCTGGCAGTGGCAGTGATTGAATAATAAAAAGCAGAAAGTAAAGAAATATGATGGCCTGAAGATAGTACTGATAATTACAGCGAAAACTGATCCCTCCTGAGTCTTCAGTCCAACCTCTTAGGAAAGCAAGGAACAGTCTGGCTTCCGTGGAAGAGAACAGTAGGGGATGTCAGTTTTCTGCTAGAATGAGAAAGTAGAGAGAAGAAATAGGACTATGATAGGGTAAAGAGTGTAAGAAAGGTCCCAAGGAGGAGGAAAACAGTAAGAAAATGCATTCCTTCACGTATGCAGAAATGCATATCGAGGCATGAAGTGCTGAGGTTAACATGTCAAAAACAGACTGCTGAGCCAGACTGTGGAGTTTAAATCCCAGCTCTCCACTAGCATATAACCTCGGGGACGTTTCTTCCTCATCAGTAAAGCAGGGACAGTGATAGACCTACTGATGTTGGTGGCTGACCTGGGCTAACACGGATGCAGAACGGTTACAGCAGCGCTTAGTACACAGCCAGACCCAGAGCATGTGAGCAGAACCAGCACACCTCTAGGGAGGAGGAGGAGCAGCACTGCCGTGGCAGAGGAGTTCGTGTGAAGGCGCGAGCTCCACACATAGAGAGTGGGTATAGGAATTGATCAGTACAAGCAGATGGTCACCAAAGTGCATGTGCACGGGCTCACCACACTCACCTCAGCTTCCCGGGTACGGCCACCAATGGACATAGAGATTCACAGATCATTTTTTTTCCTCCCTGTAGCCTGAGTAGAACAGCAGGCCGACATAGCATGGAACTAAGTAGTAAGTTCAAAGGAAAGTTAAGGAAACTTAAAAATCCCTCAGGACCCAAGCCTGATTTCATCCCTAAGTGCCTTTAGAACAGGGGATTCTGGTTCCTTTTTGGCTCATTGACTCAGCAGTTCTCAAGCAGGAGCAGCAGCCCTCTCTGCCCCTCCCCACACCCAAGGATATTTGGAAATGGTGAAGGGGCATTTTGATTGTGAGACTCTCTTGTGGGCATTTGGAATACCAAACACTCTTCAGTGTGCCAGGTAGTCCCATATTAGGAAGTCTCATCTGCAGAAATGCCAGTAGCATCATGCTGAGAAACACTGTGATGTGAAATGCATGTTGCAGGGTGAGTCCTGCCAGTATTTTCCAAATTCACTGCCAAGAGGCAAGCTACATGCTAAGCATTCTGTGTGAATAGACATGAGGAGACTGTGTGCTCCACAGAACATTGTCGGCAGATTCCTCCTTTTGGTTGAGATGTCAGAAATTGCTTGCCTAAATTGAAAGGCAGAGACGCATATATGCTGGTGGTTCTCTGAGCACAGGAAGGTCATTTGAACTGTCCCTTGTTAGGATGTAATGACTTACTAATGTAGATGCCTCCTTCCACCCCCTTCTTTTAACCAAGCCCAGATGGTAGGGTGTAAGTTTTATTTCTATCTACTCTGATCAGTTAAGTCCCAATTTGAAGGAACTTTTTGATGACTCTGGAGTATAATATGCCAAGTGGTAATCTCCTTTTTAAATATGAAGAATAGCACGAGTGCATAATTTCTGCCTAGTATATTAATCATGCTTTGTGTCTGTGTTCATCTCAGGAGAGAAACCCTTCATCTGTGAAATCTGTGGCAAAAGCTTCACCAGCCGCCCCAACATGAAGAGGCACCGCAGAACTCACACAGGCGAAAAGCCCTATCCATGTGACGTGTGTGGCCAGCGGTTCCGCTTCTCCAACATGCTGAAGGCCCACAAGGAGAAGTGCTTTCGGGTGACCAGCCCTGTGAATGTGCCGCCTGCTGTCCAGATTCCACTTACAACTTCCCCAGCCACCCCAGTTCCTTCTGTGGTGAACACACCTGCAACCCCAGCCCCTCCAATCAATATGAACCCCGTAAGCACTCTTCCCCCTCGGCCCATCCCCCACCCCTTCTCGCACCTTCACATCCACCCGCACCCTCATCACCCGCACCACCTTCCCATCCCGCCAGTCCCTCACCTCCCCCCACCTCCAGCTCTCTTTAAGAGTGAGCCTTTGAACCACAGAGGCCAGAGTGAGGACAACTTTCTGCGACACCTGGCGGAGAAGAACAATTCAACACAGCATCATTAACATCCGTCTCCTTAAGTGTGTTCTCCAGGAGATGCGTTCCCAGGTGTGAGTGCAGAGAGGGAGTTGGTGAGCGTTTCTGTAGCTCCCAGACTCCACCACCTCCACGAGCCTTGTCATTGTTCTGGTGAATCAGCAGATCCAAAGGAATGAGCAAGAAGACGACCTTGAGCTCACAGAGGGAACTGTCATCTAAACCAGGGGAACCACCGAACTGAAGCCCAATTTGCTTGCATTTTCTGGTGACTTTTATAAGTTTCAAATACTCAGACTTGTGAAATTTTATAATTTCATATCAGCTGATGAGGTATGCTTGCTTTTATATCCTGGACTTCTCCTCAAAGAGGAGATAGGCCTGGTTTCCTTTGTACTAATCGGGAAGGCTGTGAGATTAATCCAGAGCATTAATTGTATCACTGTGTATCGTAAGGAATTCTTTTCAGCTTTTGGTGCTGGCGACAGAGTTGAGCTGGCCGTGTTTCACAGTATATCGAGCATTAGAGAGAAAGATGGAAATTTTCTCCTTTGTGTAGCTCTCCTAACGCACTCTTTATTTTACTACAGAAATTATTTTAGAGTTTTTGTATAGACTTCTTTAGTAGTCTGTTTCTAAAATGAAATGTATTTCAATAAGCAGTGTAATTTTTTCAGTGTAGCTGAACCTATGTTGTAAAATAGAAAAAATTTTTATAATCATCAAAATGTGATTCTTAAAGATACATATAACTTCTATAATTCAAAGTTATTCTTACATCCGTACAACTCAAGGTGCTTCAGAGACTAGATGTATCTGAGAGGGTCCAGACCAGCTTACTGCAAAAATGAGGTTTTGCTTTCAGAATTTGGCGTAAGTACTTGGTCCTTTTTAAATCTCTGCTTAACACTCAAGTATCTGTCGGGCTCACTGACATGCTCCTGCCCTCCGTGTTCCATTTGGCTCAGTTAGTGCATTAAACACATTATTTACAGGGGTTGGGCCTTTTCCAGGGAAGTCACCTGAAGCTTGCGTGTTTGGAAATGTGAGAGAGGCTGTTACTGCCACCGGAGGAAGTGGGGAGATTGCATCATCTCAGTCATGTCTGTTTCTCACTTCCCTTAGGAACTGTGTTCAGGTTTAACTTTTATGGGATGACAAATTGAAACCTTTCATTTTGATGTTGCTTTATTTTTCTAGAATTGTTATAAGAAGCTAAAATAGTAAACAAAAAATCACAGACATGATGTTGCTAATAGTGGTTGAGAAAACAAATGGTTATGAGTTTTAAAATGTCTGTTATATATATATATAATGTGTCTATATTCACAGCTTTGATAAATAGTAGTGAAGGAGAACGCCTCAATTTTCCTGCCTTGTCCTCTGCAAACACTCATGTGATGCCAGCATTCTTAGGTGACAAAGAGACAGCACCTCTAACCCTTTAGACATTACTTTTTTCAAGCCAGAGGACCTTCAGCAAAGCATAGTTAACCAGGAGCTTATTACAGAAAAAGCTGAACAGAAAGGCTAATATATTGGTTACATTTAGCTGGTCACATTTACCCAGACTCAGTATAGCTAAAAATTTTGTATTTCTTTATCTCAGAGAACTGAGTTCCCGAGCTAGATCACTTTCTGCCCACCCCCTCTCCTCTCCATTTTAAAATGTTTTTATTTAGAGACAGGGTCTTGCTATGTTGCCCAGGCTGAAGTACAGTGGCTATTCATAGCACACTGTAGCCTCAAACCCCTGGTGTGATCATAGCACACTGCAGCCTCAAACCCCTGGGCTCAAAGTGATCCTCCTGCCTTGGCCTCTCAAATAGCTAGGACTACAGGCTCACGCTACCATGCCCAATCCATTTTTGAATCTTGAAGTTTTTTCCATTTTTCTTTCCTTAGGCTCTTAAATCACTGCCTGAATCAGAACCCTGGCTCTTATTTATTTTTTATTTTTAATGTTAAATGTACAGATATGCTTCAAGCACTTTTCTTGCTAATTAGCTTTGTGATAGGAAAAAAAATGGACCTTTTCAATTGAAGTTAAATCCCTATTTTTAAAATATCATATTCTCTATTAGTTTTCTGGTTTAATATTTCTAAATTTTCTCCTTCTGATTTTGTCCTTTATAATGAGCATAGGAAATTTTTGGAATGAGGAAGAACGTATCACAAGACAACTTTCTTCCTGTTTTTGGATATATGTTTAAATGGCGTTTTTAATATTTGTACACATTTTTTGAGCACCCAGGTACCCAAGCTAATAAGGAAGGTAATTCCTTGCATGTGACTGTTGTATTCTTAGTGGCTGTCTCCCCTCCTCCTCAGTCTCCTTAGCATTCCATGACAAGTTTGTCAGCGTATACCTTTATCTAGACATATCATTATTTCATGGTCAAGCCCGTAGTGGCAAAATGATTTTTTTAAAAGATATAAATGTACCTTAATTAGTCGGTTATATTTTATTCTAAATAAATTTACAGTATTGGGCAATTTGGAATTCTAAACTTGAGACCATTGAATCAACAATTTCATGAGGTGTATTATACGCTGGAAAATTCAGTTAGTCATCTTTGATTTTTTTATTCAAGTAACTATAGCCATAAGAAAATATCTGCTACAAAGGAGAACCAGTATTTAGCAAATAGTCACCACCATCCTTAACAGAAGCAAAAAAATAATTAATTAAAAAATTAGCATTGTCACACTGTACAGTTCTTAGTTAAATGTATTGTGAAACAATCTAGCAGCTTCCTTTTCTTCCCTCAGATAAATAAGTATATCTTCCCTGACTTGAGATCTGTGGTCTTCAGGAAAACTACTTAGAGTGTAATGGTTCCTCATCAGTGTCATATTACATTTGAAAAATTAAATGCATTAAGAATATTCACAACATTAATGCTTCTGATTATAAGAACTGCAGGATAAGCCTTAAACGTGTGTGCATCAGGTTTAACATGCTTAAGACTCAGACTCAGGGGTGAAAATTTGGTTGGGGTCCTCTACTAAGATAAAAGTTACATTATGTGATAGATTCTCTTTCAGTTATGCTACAGCACCCCATGAAGAACTTGTTACCTGTTTATAAAAAAAAAAAAAAAAAAAGAATTATGGAGGAGTTTGAGTTCTCAGCCCTACGTGTGCTTATGTCGTAAAGACAACAAGGGCCACATTTCAGCATTATATAGCTATCAAATTGAGGCTGTGTCTCTTTACTTAATTTTACTATTTTCAAAGGCTTGGATCATCGCTAAAGTTAAGACTTATTTGAGGATGAGTTGGCATTGCATTTTTTGTGGGGTTTGTATTTGTTTTGTTTTTGTTTTTCTGTTCTCGTAGAGTTATCATTCATAGATAAACTCTTCCTTAGCCTTAATAAAAGGCTGCTGCTTTCTCAAATTGAGTCAGGTAGGCTCATACTGAGTTCGATTTTTTAAAAATTTAAATGAAAAGATAACAACTTAAAGGCATGTGGTTTCATTTCCACACATATTTGTGATTTGATTATTCTTTTTAGCAAGCATGGGAGACTCTCCACAAAAAACTTTACTGTAGTTCAAAGAAACCTTTGCAGATCAGTTACATGTATGTTTATAGTCTACCATCTACATTAACTGTTCTAAATTAATGACTGAGCATGAACATTACCATAGTTGTACCACTTTTTAAAAACTGCATTTGTTGGAAGTACCTTTTTTATTGTGCTTAGAACTTTCCCTATTATTTGATTGTCCCTAATATACTAACTGAAGGCAAAATGCTCTGAAGAGATGCTTGTAAACTTTGAATTTTTTACTTACTGAGTGTTTTTTTGGTTTTCATATCTGTTGAATAGATATGTATGTTTAGTTGCATTTTTATTTCACTGGAAGTTTTAAATTTTGAGGAGAAGAAGCAGAGATAGAAATCCATTGCAGACATATATATATTAACCCCAACTTGCAGACTTGGGTTAGTAAAACACAGAATGGGTGGGTGGGTTTTAATGTTAAAAAAGAACAAAAACACTAAAGTTAGAAAAACCCTTCTGTTTGAGCTACTGTATAGAAAAGACAACTTTTGTTGCATTGCTGATTCACATGATGAATATTTTAATGCTGTTCTAGACTGTATGGGAATAATTTAATGAAAAAGAGGATATGTTACATTTAGAATTATATCAGCTACCTACCATTTATAAAAAATCAACTCTTTTGGAATTCTTCAGACTGTAAGATTGAACAAGTAAATACTGGGTTTTAATTTTCCTTTGCCTAAACCAAGATAGGAAATTTCCCAAAAGATCATTTTTTTCAGGAATGAAAGGTCATAAGCCATTAAAGTTAGTGGCATTATTATGCAATAACAACACCCTCGCTAACCTGCTTTTGTCATCTGTAGCACTGTAATAAATAGTGATGACCTTCCAACCCTGGACACTACCTCGAGAAAGCAAACCAGAGGTCCTCTCAACACTTTCTATGGAAGCCATAAAAGTTGCCATCAATATATCCACTTTCATAGTTCTATACTTTTATACTCTCCAGACTTTTTTATAGACTTTATGATCAGATCTTTTCATCTTACAGGACAGGTTTTGCAAAATTCAAAGGAAAATCAAACTCCTTGGTTGTCCAACTCTGAAGCTTTAGCTTCATAAATTTGTTTAAAGAACCAGACAACGTACCATTTATCAAATTAATTCTTTAAGTCAAAATGACTTTGCAGAGCTGCATATTTGGAAAACACTCTTTCCTGTTCCCTAGGTAGAAGCTATATTGTTGTAGGAAACTACTTATAAAGTGACTTTCTTTCTATCTTTCTACTCTGTGTATTATTTAATAATAGATATACTGTCACCTGCTCCTGGAGTTGTTTATTCCTTTGTGACAGCTATGCGAGAGACCCTCTCTCTAACCCTCCGCTCTCACTGCAGCTTTGGTTTCTCTCACTCTGTTCTCGAGTGCCTTCAAAAAGCCAGCATCCTGGAACATCCTCTTCCTGGTCTAATCCTACCTCTGATTACTTTATTCTCCAATAGTATTGGAATTCACCGTTATTCTAGTGGATTTAACTCCACAAACTAGTTAAACCTTTTTGGACAAGAATTTTGACTGTATTTCTGTTTTGTTCCTTCATGACATTTTAGCTTACATTTTTAATTCCAATTTACCTTATTTCTTCATATATTACATCTCTGTGTTGAAAGGTTTTTATCCTTATTTTACTTGACCTTCTTTACTTTCACCAGAAATTAGACGTTCCTTTAAAAATAAAGGTCATTGAGCATGTCTTTTGAACATCTCTTTCTCATCTGAAGTCTTCCTAAAGCCTCCCCTTTCTGAGGAAGGGATCCTGAATGCTGCTGTCGCTGTGTCCTGTTCCTATGTGCCCTTTCTGTTCCGAAAACATTTTGCAGGCTTGTACCCTTAAATTTGTTTTAGTGAAATTAATTTAAAATTGCTCTCTGGGTTTCTCTAGAGTTCTTTATTGGTTCTTGATCTGCCTCTCATTCCCCTATCCCTCAAAAACCTTGATTTACTTTCTTTTCTAGTTGTTTTCATCTAATGCATTTTAATAGTATGAGTGATACATAAGATATGAAGGATGTCCTGAAAAGGAGGGTGCAGTGTTCTCCATGGCATGTGAGAATCTCCTTGATCAAAATGTTTCAGCAACTGGCTTGTCTCTCATAGCCACAATTGACATGCACTGTGCACAGGTGTCTTGCTCCCTTTCAGCTCTCCTCCCAAACTGGGGGAAAATCTTAAAAATGAACTCTTTAAAATGAGGAAATTGAATCACACTTTTTAGTTGAATGAAAGCTATTGAGTATTTTGGCCTTGGTCAAAATATTTCCTTTCTGACTTAAAATCTCATGCCTCTTTCCTTAAAGTTAGTAGCACTCAGGTTTTTAAAGACTAACTACTAACCACAGCAGGTAGGAGTCTAAGAAGACAGCTTTTAGAAAGTTCTTAATCCTTTTTGTCTGACAATAGTGTATTTTTGGTGGGACAGCGCAAAATCAAGAGATGGTTATGTTTGACAGTGAATAAATTCAAGACATTTGAAGCCTTCACCGGCTATTTGGAATGGGAAGACTTGTTTCCAAAATGAAAAGGGATTTCTATGTTATGGAAATCAGTAGCGAGGGTTTCTTGGTTTGTTACATACTTTTCACTTAATTTGCCTTGATGTTCCTTCCCCATTATTGATCTAGAAGTTTGCCTCTTGGGTGGCAGTAGTACCAGGCTACTACCTAAAGTCGACTTTATTTATTTATTTTTTTTTTGAGTTGGAGTCTCACTCTGTCACCCAGACTGGAGTGCAGTGGCCGCTCCCGGCCACCGCAGCCTCGACCTGCTGGGCTCCGGCCATCCTTCTGCCTCAGCCTTCTGAGTAGCTGGAACTACAGGCACGCGCTACCAGGCCTGGCTAATTTTTGACTTATTGTAGAGATGAGGTCTCGCCAAGTTGCCCAGGTGGGTCTCGAACCCGCGGGCTCAGGCAATCCACTCGCCTCACCCTCCCAAAGTGCTGGGATTACAGGCTGAGCCACTGAGCCCGGCTTAAAGTCGACTTTAAACTGTGCAGCTTTTCTCTTCAGAATCCCGGGCAATAGAGCGATGGAATGCTTTGCTAGCTTGTCATCTGGAGGAACCACGTCCTTTGTGTCTTGTTTTACGTTTTCAGCAGGAAGCACTTGACACAAGCACCAAAGGGAGTCATTGCCCCAGAAGTGTTTGCGCAGCTTTCTAGCTCCAAGTTTCTTTCATGCTATTCTGGCTTCTCTGGTGAGATCAGGGATGTTATCAATTACTTGAAAACACTTTGGGCGACATGTAGGAAATGGGAATGGGGCAAGTAGGGGTGGAGGCTGTGTTTTGTTTACCTTCAGAAGGATTCATGATGCTTGCACTGGTGAATTCTGATCAGCGAAAGAGCCTGTCTCTGCACTAGATGTGGCAGAGAACCAAGTTACTTCTGAATATCCAGCTCCTCTGAAAGAACACAGCTTCCCCCCACCCACCCCGTCTTTTACAGGTGAAAAGGGACTATCTGATCAGAAAGGCAGACTTCAGCTCACATCCTGCACAGGACTCAAGACTTTCACTGCATTTGAAAGTTGGTGGGAAGTATTTTATTCTGGAACTCCCAGCCCTCCTAGAAATACCTTTACATGCTTGAGTATTCAACTCATCAGGTTAAAAAAAAAAAAACAGCACGGCATGCTTTGGGTGTTGACTTCTCGAGTCGTCCCCCAAGGCCGTATCTGCAGCCTCTGAAAATCAGATGACTTCTTCGCAGTCTTTCCAGAGTTTGAATATGCACGTTGCTCATTTCTTGAGTGGGCTGTAGGATTCTGTTCCATCAGCAGTTCTGACTCTGTCCACAAGGGAGCAGTAAAGTACTTCTGCGTCTTTATCCTCAACCTTAGAAGGATCCCGCTTTT